TATCTATCTATCTATCTATCTATCTATCTATCTATCTATCTATCTATCTATCTTTTATTTCTCTACCACCTATCTGTCTATCTGTCTGTCTGTCTTTCCTCTATGTCTGTGAAACTATCATTTAAAGTGAAGGCAAGCACTGTGGTTGCATATTTTCTTCCATCCATGTTTCGCTTCTTGGAGTAGTAATAAAATGGAGTAGGAATGCTAACTTAAGCAGTTTCTATATGCCAAGTAGTTTTATTTGCCACAGTTTGATACATCTAATCTAGAGCCGTGTCAATTCAGCTAAGCATATTGTGTATCTCATTCTTTTGAATTCACTTCCCTTAATAGGAATAGCTACTCTCAAGACAATGAGCACACTCATTACTCCATTTCGTGCTGTTCCAACAGAATACTGAGACTGGGGAATTATGAAGAACAGGGATTTATTTCTCACAGTTGGGGAAGGAGGGAACTTTTAGTTGAGAGGTCTGCATCTGGTCAGGATTTCTTGCTGTTTCACCCCTTGGTGAAAGCTGAAGGGGAAAAGAGAACTCCTGAGAAACAGCAGAGCTCCATAGCCTTAAGCAAGTGGCTCTCTTGCTAGGCCAGATCTCCTGGTGTGATTACTCTAGAGCAGGGGCTCTCAACCTTCCTAATGCTTCAACCCTTTGATACAGTTCCTCATGGTGTGGTGACCCCAACCATAAAATTATTTTCATTGCTGCTTCAGAGCTGTAATTTTGCTACTGTAGTGTAAGTATAAATTATAATGTAAATATATGTGGTTTCTAATGGCCTTAGACAATCCTGGTAAAAGGATCGGTTGACGCCCAAAGGGGTGATGACCGCAGACTGAGAACCACTGCATCGGAGGTGACGGTCTTGCTGTGTTGCCCAGGCTGGCCCTGAGCTCACGGGCTGCAGCGACCCTCCTGCCTTAGCCTTCCCAACAGCTGTGACTGCAGACATGCCACTGCGTCTGGTATGGGGGCATACGTAAACCAGAGCCCCTGAAAAGTCTCCTGTGTCCCTCGACATTCTTTCTAGCACTCCTCTTGAAGACTCGGGCAACCTTGGATCTGTTTCTGTCCCTTTAGCCTAGTTTGCATATTCTGGAGCTTGCTTCTAGATTAGGCCATGCACTGCTATTTCTCTAGTGGAAAATGTGTTAGTGGAGTGGCTGGATCCTTTGAGGTTTCCTTGTTTTTGGACTAGGGGGGAATCAACAGGGTCTAACTCCTGTTGATAGTTTCTGAAATGGACAGCTTCCAGCAATGGACAGAATTCTTTCTATATCATAAATGGATGTTTTCCATTGGAAGAAATGTCTAAACAAACTTCCAGAGCGGTTGTATCATTCTATTTAAACCTATGTATTTTACATTTAAACCTATGTTTTGCAATCTCATTGTAACTTGATCTTGTCAGTTTAAAATTTTTGCCATTCTAATATAGTCATAGTGTTACCATATTATGGTTTTTGAGTAAATTTGCATATCCTACTGACAAATAGTGTTGAGTATCTTTATTGTGCTTCTTCACCCTCTACCCTAATGTCTTCTTGGCCAAAATGCCTATTAAATCTTGGGCTCATTTCTTTTAAATTGAGTGGATTACTTTACTATGAGCACTGAGAATTTGGTGTGTTCCAACAGAAAGCCCTTGGTCAGATACATGCATGGTCAGCATTGTCGCAGTTCTGTGGCTTGCCTTCTTAGCTTGACCAGTGTCCTTTGAAGTACATCATGGCAGTAAGGGTAGTGCCAGGTGCTTGGATTCAGCGGTGTTTTGAAGACATAGGATAGGCTAATGAATTGTATGTGCGACTCAAGAGAAAATGAGTCAAGATTCCAGAGGTGTGGACTAAGCAGTGGAAAACATGGGTTTGCTCACATGCAGAATTCCGCTGTGTAGGACCATGTTTGGGGAGTACTGGTATAGGATGCTAGGGTATGATGGGATTCCTAAAACTTCCTAAGTCTCCGGCGTCAGACCTTACATTTATTCAGATTTGTTCCCTGTGCATGATACATGCTCTCTATGAGTTAGCAGGGAAGTCTGGAGGTCCTGTTATCTGGTGGGAACAACATGTGGACAGAGCGCAGAGAATTTTCAGTAGCCGTAGCATGGGGTTGGGAAGGGGAAGTGACATTAGAGGGTCACAGAGGGGATTCTCACTACTGAGTCTGGCAGAGATGCCTGGAATTCTAGGTGATAGTCACCATATGGATACTGAGAACTGAACCTGGGTCTCTTCTGCCCAGTTCACGAACCCCAAAAGACCAGGAATAAACAGACTCCGCTGTAAATACATGAGGTTCTTTTTATTACAAATTACAAGCTGCAGCTTGGGCCCACATCCCCCACTGCTGAAGCAATGAGAGCTGAGCGCTGGCTCAGGTTAGTTGGGTGGTTTAAAGATTCTGGTCCCTCCCAGCATGCCCAAGGCAGGGGCAATTCCTGCCTGGCAAGCATCTTTTGGTCAAAATGCTACATTTTGAATTGATTGGCTATAGGAAGGTCCCCAGACCATAATGACCTGGTGTCCCTCCCTAGGGAATGGGCCAGTTTCCTAGCAACTGTATCTCTAGTGGGTGGGGAAAGAATGCAGTAAGGTGGTCCTTCCCCTCAGGGCATTACTAGACTCCTCTGTCCACATAGTTCAGGCCTTAATTAATAGCTGATTTTTAATCTTTTGGTCTCTCAGGTCCTCTGTAAGAGCAATATGTACTCTTACAGAGTTATTTATAGACATTTCATTTTAAATGATTTCTAATAAAATTATTCTTGTTTTGTTTTTTTGAGACAGGGTTCTATTATTTAGCTATCCTGGAACTCACTGTGTAAAACTGGGCTGTCCTCGAATTCAGAGCTCTACTTGCCTTTGTCTCCCTAGTGCTTAGGATTAAAGGTATGGACCATCACACCCAGGAAATTATTCATTTTTAGAAGATTTTTGTCACAGGTCAAAAGAGTTACTACATTCCTTTTAACTTACAACTTTTCCTCTGGCAACAAGTGATATTATCCATGTTGGAGTATTCTCTTCTGGGAGCCAGGGTCTGGGAAACTTGGTGGCCACCAAAGCCATCCTGACCCAGGGGCTTTGGGTTCTTGTCTTATGTACTGAAGAATGAAATTCAGAGATTGGAGAGGGTGACCTTTAGAAGAAAGTTTAAATATCTTATATAGGAGCTTGAAGGAGGGAGAGAGGGGTGAAGGGAAGTAGGGAAGGAGGGGGGGGCTACAGCACATGTGCCCCACTATCTGTTTGGAGGCCACAGCACAACCTGTGGAGTCAGTTTGTTGTGGGGATCAAACTCAGGTAATCAGGCTTAGAGGCAAGCACTCCACCCTCTGAGCCACTTCCTTTTACACATGTTTTAAAATGCTGTTTAGGGGTATAGTGGATTAATGCCTTAACTTTGTAGCATTTAAGTTTTAAATTGTCTTCATGTAAATGCTAAAAACATGGTTAAGACTCTTCATAACTGTTACTTATTTAGTCCAGTATTTTAAGTGCAGTTCCTCAGAACTACAAAATTGTAATGTACAACCAGCTTATGGTGAAAGTGGCATGTACGTGCGTGCGTGCCTGTATGTTGTGTCTGTGTGAGCCCACATGTGCATTTGTAGCTAGTTTCAAATAGTAGGAAAAAGCAATACGGTTAATCTCATTGCAAAGTATGAGAAAATAAAACTATTTTATTATAACATAGAAGGCATATATATTAGTTATATACAGTTTATACTATAATTGCTGAAAAGCATGTTCATTTACTTAGTTAGATTTCTATTTCAAGTGTAAAGTTCTGGGATAAGAAATTTGATCATCTCCCCCACCCCCGAAAGCCTCTCAAAGCCTTTAAATCTATGGTGCTTGGTAAGAGAGTCATTCTATTCAAATCTAAGTTACTTCGGACTTAGAGTAACTGCCGTGGGGAGTCCTTTTATGGAAGAAAT